TATTATTAACATCTACTCTAAAATACCATTATATTGTGCAGTCCTTTACATTTGAGTGATGTGTTTACAAAAGCATAAGGGTCAAGTCCAACACAGTGCAAATGAAAAAAAAAAGAATCTGTCAACTAAAAAATAAAAAATTAAACTGATAAGAACAGATGCCTGTCTTGGATCTTAGTCAAGAATCGACAAAACTAAAAATCTGGAGCACCATAAAAGCCGGAACAATTCCATACATTTAATGGTTATTTTTTCCTTCTAAATGTGCAAAACAAAAGGCCTTATTTTCTACTGTTAAAAATAACCAGCCGATCTATTTCATTTCTCGTGACAAAGGCACACGAAAATCTTCTCTTTGGAAGGCTTCTGCCCTGAAGGAGAATCTCTCTTGTCAATTGTGTCAGACCTCAAACCTTAGACAGAGCTTCCTGTCAGCATTCCCCCATCTTACATACATGCACATAGGAAGGGGGCTGACACTGCTAAAATGTCCCAGCAGGTGCTATTGGTGACCAGTGATTGTTACTAACAGTGGATCGTAAAAGCTGGGAGTTTCAGCAGAGTTCAGGGTCATAAAAGATGCTCCACTTGCCTGGTGGGTCCACCATGTTTGCCAGACCCAGGGACGGCCTCCTTGAATGTGTTACACACAGAGTTCAATGTATGCAAACCGTAGTAACCCGGTTGTTGAAATCACACAAACATTCAAATGTCTCCTTCAGCTGGAATATAGAATTCAAGCCAAGACGATGAAACAAGAGGATGTCTGAGGCTAGGAGAAACAATTTAACTCCAATGTAAAACACTGACTGCCCCCTTATCCTTTCTAGCTCATTAAAAAGAGCATTTTGCCCATTCAAATGAACATTTATAGCCTGGCTGGAGTGACTCCGTTGGTGAGGGTCATCCTGTGCACTGCAAGTTGCTGGTTGGATTCCCGGCCAGGTCACATATCTGGGTTATGGGTTTAATCCGTAGTCCAGGAGCTTACGGAAGGCAACCAATCAATGTTTCTCTCTCAAATCAATTCTCTCTCTCTCTCTCTCTCCTCCATGTCCTCGGGTTAGGATTAAAAAGAAGAAATGCATTACATCTATAAAAAGACAAAATTCAATGCAACAGGTAAACCATTTTATACTCTTTTATGTTATATGTATCTTAATATGTCAAAGAAACAATAAAATATATCGGTGCCAATCAATCCTCTCTCTGGTTTCCAGCTTTTCTATCACTTGCACCTCAAAGAGTCCTGTGTAAAATATTCCTAGGGTTGTAACTCAATTAAGGATAATTAAGGCAATGAATGAATATATTCATTGTTATGATTAAATGTTAGAGCTGGAAGGAATTGCTAAGGTTAGCATATCCTACACAACCCTCCCCTACTCCCACTCTTACCCTCCAAGATACAAACTGGAATCACTTTGCTAAGGTTCCAGAGACATTTAATGGCATAAACAGAAGAAAACCCTTCTTTCTGTTCCAAACATCTATGACCTAGGTATGTAGTTTTAAAACATCTAAATAGCCATGGCTAAGCAGAGAGAGTGAAATATAAAAACTGCCGAAGAGATTTACCAATATGAGGCCTCAGGTTTTCCAGAAGGAGAAGCCCACCACAGCACGAGGTTCATGTGATCTAAAGACCACAGAGCGAAAGTGCTTTGGCTGGGAATTCCCGGGAAAAGGGAAGAAACATCTCCCAAGATTCGAATTAGCCAACATTAGCAGTAGAATTAGCAAACCAACAAAGAGAAAGACAAACAAGGATATCTGGGCTAATTTATAAAAACCTCGTGATGCCTTAAAATGCTGTTCACATTCACTAGTTAGCAGCTAGAGGAGAAACTGTTTAAAGGCACATCCTAATGGCCTCTGAGAAGATTACAACCAAATGGATTTTTTACTAAGCTGGAGCCTTGAATCATTTATATAATTTATTGATTGGCTGTTACTTTCATTTCTGTTTGTATGGGGAGCTGAAACAACAACAAAAAAAACCTTTTTTCTTTATACTAATTCTTATTTTAATAACCCTTCACAGTAAGACATAAATCTGGCAGGACCACCTGAGCCCTAATGAGCAATTTTACTGCAAGATGTAAGATATTAGGGTAATCAATTCCTTCTGTCAAGCCACAGATGTACCAACTATCAGTTTAAGACATTTTATTAGATGTTTATCAGCTTTCTTCTTCTTCTTTAAAGAAATAGTTTTAAAAAACAAAAACAAGCACACACAGAAAGTGCCATTCTGCAGCTGGTATGCTTTAATCTTCACCTGAGGTCATGCTTAGAGAGAGGAAGAGAGAGAGAGAGAGCGAGAGAGAGAGAGAGAGAGAGAGAGAGAAACATTGATATGAGAGAGAAGCATGATCATTTGACTTCCGTATGTGCCGGGGATGGAACCCGCAACCTGGGTATCTGCATATTAATATATAATAATACAATATCTACAAATGAATAAAGAGATGTCTGAAAATATATACAAGACAAGAGTAATAGTGAGAAAAACTCACAGACACAGACAATAGTGTGGTGATTACCAGAGAGAAATGGGGGGTGGGGGAGGTAGAAAAGGGTAAAGGAGTGATAAATGGTTATGAAAGGAGACTTGACTTGGGGTGGTGAACACATAATACAATATACAGATGATGCATTATAAATTGTACAACTAAAATCTATATAATTGTATTAACCACTGTCACCCAATAAATGCAATAAAAAATTAAATTAAATTATTTTTAAAGGAGTAATACTGGTTATCTTTGTTGGTGACATGATGGATGATTTTTCAGTTTCTTCATGCATTATCAAAATTTTTTCAATGAGCATGCTATCTTATAATTGTAATAAAAATAATTAAAACTATTTTATTATGAAAAAGAGAAGTAATACATGCTTATTGTATATATTTTTCCACTGAACATTTTACTACATTAATTCTTCAAAAAATAACTTTTAAAGCTGTTCAACATTCCATTACACTGATCTTCCAATTTTACCATTTATCTACTATAGAGACTTAAGGATTGTTTCTAATTTCTTATCGTTAAAAACAACAACAGTGCAATAGATTCCTTCTACCTGAATCTTTACATGCCTCTCTGGTTATGCCCAATAGCTGGAACTCCAGTTTTGGAGTTACTGGATAAAAGTCAGGGATTCTAGAACACCGAAAAATTGCTGTCCTAAGACACTATGAATTCACGTCTCCTTCATTAGTGAATGTGTGAGAGACCATTTCACTCTGTCCCTGAGAACTTGCCAAAGCTGCGTTTGCATGCCAAGCTCCATAAATCAAACAAGTAACAAAAACAGACATACTAACTTCATGTAGCAACACATCAAGGCACAATCAAGCTGACTTCACATGTCTTCGACTTTGCACAATTTAACACGTATGGGCCGTACTCCTCTTCATTTCCCTTTACGTCCTGAAAGTTCAAATTTCTTAGTCTGTGAGCCAAAACCTATCTCTTTTCACCTCGTTCATCTGGCTCCAGCCACTCTTGCCTTCTTGCTGTTCCTCAAACATATTTCACACGCTCTGCCCGAATGCTCTTGCCTGGATCCACAGGGCTCACCCTCTCACTGACTTTAGCTCTCTGCTCAGAAGTCCCCACTCCCCACCAACGCTGTGCAAATTAACACCCCCTTCTCCAGCCTCCCTGGCTATTGATTTGCTCTGTTTTTCTCCAGCATTGACACACAACAATTTTTTAAAATTTTCCCAACAATTTTCCGAAATTAAAAAACAAAACAAAACCTCCAAGGCACTGCCATCCCAATTCGTACAAACTGTAAGTCTGTCTCCTTATCATAACAGGAAGCAAGATTAGCTCTAGCACAACTTATTTCTAAGCCCTCCCTCCTACAATCATTACACTGATGTCTTCTCCATGTTGGCCTCTGCCCATGCGAATACCCACAGTCCAATGCCGCTCCCTGAGGAGCTCCGTCCGCTCTGCCCTCTCCGTGCAATAACCTTTTGGTCAAGATGCTGCCCTTTGCACCTTCCTTTTCACCTTCATTGCACCCAGGCTCTGTGTCCTCTACAGCAGCCAAATCCACAAAGATCAGTATAAATATAATCAGATAATTCCTCCTAAGGTGTGTGTGATTTAGTAACTGAGAGAAAAGCAAATTCTTGGAGTTTCTAACTGGAAAAAAAGAAACAGTTATAAAAATATGTATGGCTTGTGTTCTTAAGACATTTCCATTCCCTTTATTTCTTCAAATTTTGCCATCTCTTTTCTTTTGTCTTAGTCTTTCCACCTGAAAAGTCTTATTATAGTTTGACATTATCTAAGAAGCATCTATCTCCCTTATGTTTGTCATGCCATTTAGCACTGACCTCCTCCCTCTGAACAGCAAAGGATGCCTCCTTCTGACACTCCTCCTCCCTAAGCAAGTGTTTTTCTACCTCAGTGAGTCTCCATTTCATATTGGATTTCAGCCTCTCCTTCAAAATGTATTTGAAAGCTGCCTTTCCACATATCACTTCCACCCCTTGTTTCCTATAGGAACTAGGCATCGGATCCGTGCACTTGGTCCTACGTAAAGTGCTGGCTTTTAGATGTCATTACACACTTCAATTATTTTCAGGAGTAACTACTTGGAGATAAAAAAAAATATCTTTTCAAAAAAGACAACCTTGATGCTGTTTATTGTCCTTTCTCATTATAGTAGGCAATGCAACGTGTTTGCTTTCTTATGTTGTATATACAGACTTTTTCATGGCTGCAATGAACTAAAAACATTTTTAATTTCATTTTTCCTTGAAATATAAAATAAAGGCAGCGAATGTTTAAAGAACCATATGTAACAACCTGTACTATTTTGATGGTAGAATAAATTATTTTTAAAACAAACAATGATACTTTTCTACATTCTACACCAAAACTTCCTGAGATGCCCTCAGCTGCTCACTGCCACATGATATATGAAATATTCCCTCAGAATGAAAACCTTCCTTAGGTCCATGAAAGACTACTCACCAGACTTCTTTGCTTTCAAAGCAATGACAGCTGCTAGCTCTCTCTGCACCTAATAAAATATTAAGAAAAAAATCAATTAGAATAAGAAAAATGTAGATATCAAAAGCAGTACTTTGTTTTTATATATGCAACCCAAATTAAGAGCTATAACAATCAGAGCTAAATTTGCTGCCACTTTTTGGGTTTTCGTTTGATTTTAGTAATGTGGAAAACCTCTGCATAGAAATTTTAAGCTAAAAAGCTGAAAGAATCATAGTGATCAAAAAGAAATTAGATGGTTGCCAGAATGTATCATGGAACATTGGTATTTTCGCTGTACTTATGGGAAGAATTTCAAAAATATAATTATCAAACACTTAGAAGTAATTCAAATAACAAATTACTAAACAGGCATGTATGTTGGCAAAGATAGAACTATTATTTATCTCTCAAAGATTCTAGCTTACACAGAAATTCTACAACAATTAAGATGGGTGACCCTGGTTTAACTGGACCTCTGCCCAAACACAATAAATGTTCATTTGAAATCTGACAGGTTTCCAGCAAACAGTTCAGAAAATATGCCACATAAAAGCAAGTGCTACCGAGTCATAGGGTAGGTGAGGTAGGAATAGACAAGACAAACTTAAAAATCCTAAGTGCCGTAACACCCCCCTTATTTGTCCAGATTTTTGCTTGCTCATTCTTTGTCTCTCAACTCCACATATTTGAGTGCTTAAATCCTTTCCTAAAAGCTTTCTGGAAGAGACAAAAAAAAAAGTTAACTACAATCACTTTCAAAGAAAAAAAGTAATGAAGATTAACTTTGGGAAATCTGTGTTGGGCAGCAATTAAATATTCCATAACAAGAAAGCTCATGCCCCTACAGGGCACAGTCTTTGAAGCTTAGAAGTGTGTGTCATCACACTTCTAAGGTGTATGGAGGTGGAGGAGGTGGAGGTGGAGGTGATGGAAGTTTGGAAGGGTCCTGATAATGAATTTTAAAGGAAGAACATGGAAGCTCAGGTTAAAGAAGATTTGCTGTTGAGATTCGTTTAATTTGTATTTATTTACTTGTAGGCAAAAGTAGCACAATATGCTAGACACTGGGACTCCACCTAGGGATGAGGTTCATGGTGGCCAGGGCATCCTCACCCGGAAGACAGCAGCTTCTGCAGCACTGCTCTGCGCCTTGCTTTCCCTGGCTGGCAAGTCCAGGTGCCATTCAAAAGAGCATACCCCTTATCATGCTAAGTGAGATAAGTCAGTCAGAGAAAGACAGGTATTACATGATGCACTCACATGTGGGATCTAAGTAATAAACCAAAGACCTTGAATGCATATATGCATAACTCATAGATATATACAATAGAGGGCTGAAGGCCTGGGGCAGGGGTCGGGGCAGGGGTGCGCTAGAGGGGGTCAATGAGGAAAACAGGAGGACATATGTAAATACTTTCAACAATAAAGAATTATTTTTTTAAAAAGGGTATACTCTTGATTTAGCTGATTCTTTGATGCCTTAAAACTCTCTCCAGAAAATTATACAGTAACTAGAGTGCACGGGTAGGGTCCCTAGGCCTGGCCTGCGATCAGGGCTCATCAGGTTCCCCGCCTCCCCACCTCTCCACTTCGTCCTTCCCTCGCTCCCTCAGCGCCCTGCTGCCACCGCTAGTTGCTTGCCATGTTCCGTGTCCCCCCCAACCCCCGTGTGGTTATCGCATGTCATAGCGAGCGATCAAACTCCTGGTCTCCTGGTCGAACTCCCGAGGGGACACTTTGCATATTGGCCTTTTATATATACAGATGAGAAGACAATCAGTCCTTCTCCAACCTTGGAAGTCTGAGCTCTGAAAATACTCACGGTAGGAAATGTGCAGTTCAAGATCGTCCAGGTAAAGGAGGGCTGGGGGAGACAAGTGATGCGTGGCCATAGGGAAACCATCACAAATACTTGTGCAGGCAGCCAAATAAAAAACAACTGAACAAAACACCCATATTGCATATTTTAAAATTGTTAATACGTTTTATTATAGTATCACCATCTCTTTTCAGGATTGTGCCCCTTCACAGTGCTACAAATATTTGGGGGTGGGGCCAAAATATGGACCATAAACATTCACTGGGATCTTGTCAAGGCTGAACAATTCTATGACCTCCCAGGAAGATCCCACCATGGCTCAGAGACCAAAGGGAAGCAGGGGAAGAAAATGATGCTTGTGGATCACTGCATTTGCTTACAGAGGACCAATTTCATGCCTGACATTCTCTTCATGAGATCTCAGCTTTTCTTTCTCTAAACTGCAAATGAGGTGTGAAATACAACTAGCTCAGAAAAGGAAAGTATTATATTCCTACTATTGAATGACATGACATCTTTTCACAGATTTGGTGGGGAAAGAGAGAAGGAGTGCGAGCAAGAAGCCAGTCTAGCATTTGAGGGGGAACTGGGAAGGTGATGAGAGGGGACAATGAGAACGGACTACACAGGTCAATTTAGAAGGAATCTACACGTTAAAATAAAAACAAACAAAGTAAATGAGATCACTCTAGACACTGAATGCCCTGCATGTCTGCAGTCTGGGAGGATGGAGGAGTGTTTTTTGCAGGGCCTGGTGTAGACTGGCTTCCACTACCCCAGGATGGAAAAGGTTTCTAGACAAAACCTCAAAGGTAGGTTATTGTTCAGACAAAACAAACCACATTCTCTAGTGCACTGACCATCATTTCATCATTTTCAATTGTATGACTAAGGCCTGTCTTTTGGATGGTAGGGACCTGCCTGTCCTTTTATGGTATAACCCAGGGCAATCAACACTCATTCACTGACCCACAGGAGGCAACCCAGGGGCAGCCTTAAAAGGATTTAGGGGAGAGAAAAAGCTGCCCCAGGGAGGACAATGAAAATCAAAGGAGAAGAAGATGCCCACCCCACACCCCCC